GTGCATTCGACAATATTAGCTAGTGCGGCCTCTGTATTCTAGAACTAACTGTTGCAACGCGAAACGGTAGTGACCCTTGATCCAGAAACTCCGTGCGTGTTTTGTGCGGTAACCTTATACCCCGCGATAGTTAGTGGCTTCTGTAAGTTAGTTAATCGTACGATAGAGTTAATTGACTGTCAACGTGACGAAAGAAGAAAGTGACGGTGGACAACCTCGGAAGCCCCCTCAAGTTGGAGCGGTGTCGACGCTCGGGCTGCTGCCGACGGCCAAGGTCTAGGTTCAATCACCATCAGTCACACCCAGATACACATCACATCACTTATTTCCCTTTCACTACACAACCACATGTGACCTGAGCGACTCCGGAGGGACCAGTCGCCTTGGATATAGGTAAGTAAACTCCGCCTAATTCCTCTGCCGGTCGACTGGCCGTAGTATAGAACGCTCCCCCATATATTTTAGTGTAATTAGAGAGATTCCACGTGGCCACATTGAGGCCCGACCTACGTTTGCTCGGGAAGTCTTCTGCTCATGGGCCCCAGAGGATTGGATCCTTTAAGGGAGCAGCCGTAGGCCGTAACAATGGTATTTATTTGAAAAACACCCGTCATTCCGCCTATAACTAAGATACAGCAGAAAATTAACATCTAAAAGAAATTAATATACTTAACCATCCTTTTTTGAAGTTCCTTTGAAACTAATCGTAGGGGCACAGATAGGTGTTTGAAAGAGGTCGTCGGACTTCTGTCCAGTACAGGACTTGTTAAAATGCTGCGATGCCCAGGAGGGGCATCCAGTGGAGGCTGGCCCTCCGGCTTGCCACATTAGGGCTGTTTTTTGAGGCGTTGGTTAGGGTTGCAAGATCTGATGGGTTGCCTAAGGTGGCCTAGTTTGGTTGTAGATTCGGTCTTGCAACTTGCAGTCTCGACCTAGTCCCGCTGACCGGTTTGCTCGCGAACCTAAATCCTTATGTCCGGGACGGGGGTTTGTTCACGCTCAACGCTGTCAAGAATCGACGCCAGATATCACTCGGCTCAGCGCGATACCGGTTTGACTCTCGGTCGTGCGAAAAACGCCCAAGGGCAGTCAGTCGTCCTTAGGCAGTGCTCACGATTGGCACGCTGCCAATTAAGCGCGGGAACTCGGAATAATTAAGCGCGGACAGTAAAAATACGGTCTAGGAATTTTGTGGCGCGTATCCCTACTGGAGAGCTTCCCCGGGACCTATTGGGTCCGACTCAGAATCTGTATAAGTGCATTCGACAATATTAGCTAGTGCGGCCTCTGTATTCTAGAACTAACTGTTGCAACGCGAAACGGTAGTGACCCTTGATCCAGAAACTCCGTGCGTGTTTTGTGCGGTAACCTTATACCCCGCGATAGTTAGTGGCTTCTGTAAGTTAGTTAATCGTACGATAGAGTTAATTGACTGTCAACGTGACGAAAGAAGAAAGTGACGGTGGACAACCTCGGAAGCCCCCTCAAGTTGGAGCGGTGTCGACGCTCGGGCTGCTGCCGACGGCCAAGGTCTAGGTTCAATCACCATCAGTCACACCCAGATACACATCACATCACTTATTTCCCTTTCACTACACAACCACATGTGACCTGACCGACTCCGGAGGGACCAGTCGCCTTGGATATAGGTAAGTAAACTCCGCCTAATTCCTCTGCCGGTCGACTGGCCGTAGTATAGAACGCTCCCCCATATATTTTAGTGTAATTCGAGAGATTCCACGTGGCCACATTGAGGCCCGACCTACGTTTGCTCGGGAAGTCTTCTGCTCATGGGCCCCAGAGGATTGGATCCTTTAAGGGAGCAGCCGTAGGCCGTAACAATGGTATTTATTTGAAAAACACCCGTCATTCCGCCTATAACTAAGATACAGCAGAAAATTAACATCTAAAAGAAATTAATATACTTAACCATCCTTTTTTGAAGTTCCTTTGAAACTAATCGTAGGGGCACAGATAGGTGTTTGAAAGAGGTCGTCGGACTTCTGTCCAGTACAGGACTTGTTAAAATGCTGCGATGCCCAGGAGGGGCATCCGGTGGAGGCTGGCCCTCCGGCTTGCCACATTAGGGCTGTCTTTTGAGGCGTTGGTTAGGGTTGCAAGATCTGATGGGTTGCATAAGGTGGCCTAGTTTGGTTGTAGATTCGGTCTTGCAACTTGCAGTCTCGACCTAGTCCCGCTGACCGGTTTGCTCGCGAACCTAAATCCTAATGTCCGGGACGGGGGTTTGTTCGCGCTCAACGCTGTCAAGAATCGACGCCAGATGTCACTCGGCTCGGCGCGATACCGGTTTGACTTTCGGTCGTGCGAAAAACGCCCAAGGGCAGTCAGTCGTCCTTAGGCAGTGCTCACGATTGGCACGCTGCCAATTAAGCGCGGGAACTCGGAATAATTAAGCGCGGACAGTAAAAATACGGTCTAGGAATTTTGTGGCGCGTATCCCTACTGGAGAGCTTCCCCGGGACCTATTGGGTCCGACTCAGAATCTATATAAGTGCATTCGACAATATTAGCTAGTGCGGCCTCTGTATTCTAGAACTAACTGTTGCAACGCGAAACGGTAGTGACCCTTGATCCAGAAACTCCGTGCGTGTTTTGTGCGGTAACCTTATACCCCGCGATAGTTAGTGGCTTCTGTAAGTTAGTTAATCGTACGATAGAGTTAATTGACTGTCAACGTGACGAAAGAAGAAAGTGACGGTGGACAACCTCGGAAGCCCCCTCAAGTTGGAGCGGTGTCGACGCTCGGGCTGCTGCCGACGGCCAAGGTCTAGGTTCAATCACCATCAGTCACACCCAGATACACATCACATCACTTATTTCCCTTTCACTACACAACCATATGTGACCTGACCGACTCCGGAGGGACCAGTCGCCTTGGATATAGGTAAGTAAACTCCGCCTAATTCCTCTGCCGGTCGACTGGCCGTAGTATAGAACGCTCCCCCATATATTTTAGTGTAATTCGAGAGATTCCACGTGGCCACATTGAGGCCCGACCTACGTTTGCTCGGGAAGTCTTCTGCTCATGGGCCCCAGAGGATTGGATCCTTTAAGGGAGCAGCCGTAGGCCGTAACAATGGTATTTATTTGAAAAACACCCGTCATTCCGCCTATAACTAAGATACAGCAGAAAATTAACATCTAAAAGAAATTAATATACTTAACCATCCTTTTTTGAAGTTCCTTTGAAACTAATCGTAGGGGCACAGATAGGTGTTTGAAAGAGGTCGTCGGACTTCTGTCCAGTACAGGACTTGTTAAAATGCTGCGATGCCCAGGAGGGGCATCCAGTGGAGGCTGGCCCTCCGGCTTGCCACATTAGGACTGTCTTTTGAGGCGTTGGTTAGGGTTGCAAGATCTGATGGGTTGCCTAAGGTGGCCTAGTTTGGTTGTAGATTCGGTCTTGCAACTTGCAGTCTCGACCTAGTCCCGCTGACCGGTTTGCTCGCGAACCTAAATCCTTATGTCCGGGACGGGGGTTTGTTCGCGCTCAACGCTGTCAAGAATCGACGCCAGATGTCACTCGGCTCGGCGCGATACCGGTTTGACTTTCGGTCGTGCGAAAAACGCCCAAGGGCAGTCAGTCGTCCTTAGGCAGTGCTCACGATTGGCACGCTGCCAATTAAGCGCGGGAACTCGGAATAATTAAGCGCGGACAGTAAAAATACGGTCTAGGAATTTTGTGGCGCGTATCCCTACTGGAGAGCTTCCCCGGGACCTATTGGGTCCGACTCAGAATCTATATAAGTGCATTCGACAATATTAGCTAGTGCGGCCTCTGTATTCTAGAACTAACTGTTGCAACGCGAAACGGTAGTGACCCTTGATCCAGAAACTCCGTGCGTGTTTTGTGCGGTAACCTTATACCCCGCGATAGTTAGTGGCTTCTGTAAGTTAGTTAATCGTACGATAGAGTTAATTGACTGTCAACGTGACGAAAGAAGAAAGTGACGGTGGACAACCTCGGAAGCCCCCTCAAGTTGGAGCGGTGTCGACGCTCGGGCTGCTGCCGACAGCCAAGGTCTAGGTTCAATCACCATCAGTCACACCCAGATACACATCACATCACTTATTTCCCTTTCACTACACAACCACATGTGACCTGACCGACTCCGGAGGGACCAGTCGCCTTGGATATAGGTAAGTAAACTCCGCCTAATTCCTCTGCCGGTCGACTGGTCGTAGTATAGAACGCTCCCTCATATATTTTAGTTTAATTCGAGAGATTCCACGTGGCCACATTGAGGCCCGACCTACGTTTGCTCGGGAAGTCTTCTGCTCATGGGCCCCAGAGGATTGGATCCTTTAAGGGAGCAGCCGTAGGCCGTAACAATGGTATTTATTTGAAAAACACCCGTCATTCCGCCTATAACTAAGATACAGCAGAAAATTAACATCTAAAAGAAATTAATATACTTAACCATCCTTTTTTGAAGTTCCGTAATCGGAAAAAGTAGCCTATAAGTTGCCCAGGGTTACTGACTACCTACATACAAAATTTCATGTAAATCGGTTCAGTAGTTTTTGCGTGAATCCGGAATACACAGACAGACAGACAGACAGACAAAAATTCTACAAACCACTAATTTGGCTTCAGAACCCTTTATTTAGTCCCCTGGACTTGTTTTTTCAAGAATATATTAGAATTACAGACACGACTTTTCTACAGATTTATTATATGTATTATTATATGTATAGATTATTATCCAAAGAATAAAATACTACTAAAAGTAAAACCTGCGGTTGCCAACCCGCTTGCTAAGCGTGGCAACTATGGCAAACTTCCCTCTATGAGGCAATCTATGGGGGAGGCCTACGTTCAGCAGTGGACTTAAGTTGGCTGTTACGGTAACGGTATCCAGATTCCTACAAAGTACGGTTCTAAGCTACATGCATCCATCGACTTCCTCCATCTCTAACCAGGTCGTTACTCCATCTAGGGATAAAATAAATATTAAACATCAGTATTTCGATTTCAGGTACGGCCCGGCGATAGCGGCAGTCTCCAGCGGTGCCATAGATTTAAAATCATTTATCACCCATCATTTTCCAATGGACAAAATCAAAGAAGCCCTCGAGCTGGCCAAAAGCGGCGCCGCCATGAAAATCATTATTCACGTTAACTGATTAATGTGTTTTATTTACACCACGCTAAGTTTTGTTTACTTTATTAACTTTTGTTAATACTTATTTATAATGTTTGCTTAATGCTGCTGTGTTTCGTATGGTGAGTGTAGAGAAACGGAGACCCTTTTAACTGGAAACGAGGCAATCCATCTTAGTCCTCACGGGTGACAACGCATCTGCATTTTGATTCGTAATCGAGGATAAATGTAGATGTCTATGGGCCACAGCAACCACTTACCATCAGGTGGACTGTGTGCTCGTTTGTCACCCTTATCCTATAAAAAAAATGTCACGAACATGCGTGCTAAACCAGATAACACTAATTGCGACTATGGGAATGCCAAAAAGGCCTTTGATGTTCTAAATATAGAAAGATTTAATCTATACTTAATATTATAAAGAGGTAAAGTTTGTAATTGAGTTTGTAGAAAGTAATCTCTGGAACTACAGAACCGATTTTAAAAGTTTTTTCACCAGTAGAAATCTACATTATTTCCGAGTGACATAGGCTATATTTTATTGTCATTAATACTATTTTTAATGTGAAATAACAACATTTGTCAATCAATTCCGAAAATAAATCCTAAACACTCAGTACTAAGAACCACACAAGATAATTTCATCACAAGTTAAAATGTTTGACGCCCAGCGAAGTAGGCACGGGTCAGCAAGTTTTTTTATATAAAGGTTGATTTTAACTATTTAGTAACCGAGAGAACTTTCCAGTGTCAACATCGTTAATGTTTTGTTAGAAAATCAATTTTGAGTACTTTTTTTTTATATAGAATAAGGGTGACATACGAGCATACAGTCCACCTGATGATAAGTGGACGTTGTGGATCATAAACGCTTACATTTATCCTCGACTAGCGATCCGCCCCGGCTTCGCTCGGGTGATTTCTGAATCTCAACAACAGCGCCACCGACCGGGTCCAATTGTGAATCTAAATCATCTCGGGATCCACTCAAATACACAAAAAATGTCATCACAGCCCTGATGAGCCTATAAGAACTATATCGTCGGCAATTCGATTGCGGATAATATAGTTCTTATGACAGAATGGCTCGAGGACCTGAGCACTATGCTCAAGAACCTCAATAGTGTCTCTCAACGGGTAGGTCTTATGATTAACATGAACAAAACAAAGGTCATGTGTAACGTCCATGTCACACCTATGTCGGTAGTTGTTGGGAGCACTACGCTCAAAGTTGTTGATGACCGAGAGGTCAATCGAAGGATTGATCGGGGCTGGGCAGCGTACGGGAGATCACGACACATCTTGTCGTCAGGTATACCTGAAAACAAGATTGAACAACCATCACTGTTATCATTACTGGCAACAGTGCATTTTGCCAATGAGTACTTATGGATCTGCGACGTGGTCCTTCACTGTTGGAAACTCAAGGTCGCTCAGCGAGTTATTGAGAGAGCTATGCTTGGGGTTTCTCTGCGTGATAGACTTAAAAATGAGGATATCCGCAGTAGAACCATAGTAACCGACATAGCCCAAAGGATTAGTAAGCTGAAGTAGCAATGGACCGGTCATATAGCTCGAAGAACCGACAAGCGATGGGAAAAAAAGATTATCGAGGGGCAGTCTCCTACTGGTAAGCGAAGTTTAGGTCGGCCCCCCACTAGATGGAGTGGCGACCTGGTAAGATATGCAGGAACTCGATGGATGCAGGTGGCTCAGGACGGTGCTTTGTGGCATTCCTTGGGACACGCGTACCCTCTGTAATATCCGGAGAATAACAGGATTGTGAAAGACACCCCTTCACCGACGCTCGTGTCAGTTAGAGGTAATAAAACCACATACAATTTGCAAATTATTTTTTTTAATTAAAATGAAATTTTTTAATGTTAAGTTTTTTGAAAAAAAGTTATTTCTTTACATTTGAATACTGACTGATAACGCACTTAAAGGGAACCACAGGGTTTTTGTTACACGTTGTATATCACATGTATTGATATTATATTATGTGTATTTATATTGCACCACCTACCTAGTATTCATTGTTTTATTCCTTTACACCTTTGGTTGCCTGGAAGAGATCGCTATGTATGCTATAAGGCCGCCAAATTGTATATATAATCTGCTTTTTTTCTGTTATCATTAATTCATTCATACAAGGAAAAAAGATGCAAAAAGTTGTAAGGAAATAATTTATTTACATTATAACATCAAATCATTAACTATAAATTCGATTATCACATCTCATTAATTAAATTAAATATTAAATACATGGAAATAATATGTATACGTACTAGAGGAGACGCCGAGACATGGTTGATGTGTCTGTGAATGATTCGTTCATTTGACCCGGGTCGCATCAGTGTTGATGGTTGCAATTACTTTTTTTTACGTTACGGATCAAACGATTGACAGGACAGTATTAGTAATGTCCCACGACCGACATCGAGCGTGTCTCACAGATTACGAGTGCTGAAACTCAAAATGATCTATTTGAATCTGAATGACCAGGTCTGTAAGACTATTCAATACTTAAATGATCTGGTCACAAGAAATGAATGAATGACACATGTCTAGTTGTTTCCAACACGAGTTAGAACCCGCGGGCTCAAACTTACTTACTCTGCGCCACAAAAAGGTACTCTGTGGTTCCTTCCGCCGCGCATATTTTGTTCGCGGTGTCTGTTCTAGTATGTAGTACATTTTAATTCAATGATTAAATATAGTAATTAAAATAGATCGGTGGTATTATTATCAATCACATGAGGTTCAGCTTGGAGTTCTTGAAGACGCCGGGCCGCGTGTTGAGGGCGGCCGTATTGGTCCGAGGGACTGGCATGCTGCCTAGCTTGTTGCCTGTCAGATTTAAAAACGGTGAAGATGACTATGATGATGAAAAACATGGAGATGACAACATGGTAGTAGACACTTGTCAGTAAATTAAAGTTATACCAAATTTACATTTCACTACTGGGCACAGGCTTACTCTCATGTCTGACAGGGTAATAGCGATTCGGTAGATATTAACCATTTTAAACATGTCGTTTTTATATTTTTGTTAAATACCGAAGGTTTTAATTATATTTGATTTAGTAGTTAATTTCTAATAGATGACCTCATAGAGTTGCTGAAGACTGAGAATAAATATATAAATATATTATAGAATAAAATAAGTATATAGAGAGTAGCTACCTTTATAAAGCATAAAAAGTCAATTGACTCTTTATATTAGTGACATGTTTGACGTTTAATAACTTTGTACAAATTGACGGTGTAGTCCTTGTTTCATAAATTTTTTTTCATGTACTTTTTGGATTGTTTGCGGGTCATATACGAAAATATAATATATGAACCACTATTAGTGTAATATAAACATCTTACCGGCACCTCCGCGGGCTGCATACGCTCCCCGGGCCGCTTTCTTCTTCGCAGCCGATGCGCCCTTGCGTTTAAACCTGGACAAAAACATATGTGTGCAGTTCACACAGGGTAGAAGTTAAACTTACAGAAAAGGAGACATAATAGGAAGCACTGTATTCTATCTCATTCTATAGATGTATATGTTTGTCTCTTTTTAGTGTCGTTTTATCGAGTTCGTTTCGTCGAGTTTCGAATCACAACGATTCTAAAGAAGTTTTCAGTTCTAAACGCAGTAGCAGCCAGATATCGTCCCGTTGATTTCGACCGCAGCTACAACTTACGGATACAAACAACTTATAAAGTTATCAACTTGTAGCGGCACTGTCGTCGCGCTATAATAACGTATACGCACCGAAAAACAATCAAAGCCTAAAAGCACACTATCAAAGTTTCTAGATCTATAATATGACCAATTTTAACGAATACTAGCCATCTCACAAGTGTATACGCAAACACAGGTACACTCTCTATTCCCTTACTCTCATAGTCCTGTGGAACAGCAAGACATGAGCGGAGAGATATATATATGTATGTCAAATTAATTATTATTATTAGTGAGTTCAGCCTCATAATCTCATTAGATTCATAACTTGACAAAATGCACTGTCATAATTTTTTAAAGTCTTATTTAAGAGACAAATCTTTTGTAAAATATTGTAACAGACATTTTTCAAAATAAAATGTTGCTATTTATACATTCTCTGAAATTCTTTTCCCCTGTTCCCCAACCTTTCTTTTTCTTCGAAGACTGAAAACAGAGCATTACAAGCTTGTGTTTGTTCCTAGCATTTAAAGTATGAACAATGCATATTAAAGCTTTTTCATGATTTTATTTACATACAAGTACATTACATTTTCAAAAATATATTGTGATGCTAACGTTAATATGTTTAATTATTAAAATTTTTCTCTGAGGAATCTTTTATGCCGACTTCAAAACGGAGGAGGTACCTACTCAATTCGACTGTTTGTTTTTTTATGTATGTTACCTCATAAATTTTATCTAGGTGAACCGACTTCAATGATTCTTTTTTTTATCTGAAAGCTGGTGTTTCTCATGCGATCCTATATAAAAAATTTGAACAAGGTCTGACCAATAGTTTTTGAGTTATCCTTAATAATTTATACTGAAGTCGGTTGTACAAAATTTTTAATTATGAATTATGCAAAACAAATATGGTTTCAATGTCAGCCGCGGTAACACACAGTAAAACTCCATATGACCGGTAGCGAAGTCTCCATAGAAGCCGAGAAGGCGGGCTTGCCCTATCAAACTGCTCAATCAGTAATATCAACTAATAAAATAACTCGGAAACTGTTTCAAACTATTTCAAATTTCTCGCGCGTTCTCTCGCTTCTGTTGTACACAGGTCATGACTTCGTAGCCTTATTATGTAACGTCAACACTTAGCAGATTGCTTTACTGCGCGATACTACTGTCGTAAAAAAGGAGTTGAGTTGAATAATTACTCGTCTCTATCGCACTCGCACCTTTTACCGGGCTTTTTACAGGGCTTTACAGGGCTTTCGATAAGACGATCGTTCCCTTTCTAACCTGTTGCAAAATGTTCTATAATGAAATATAACTACGATTGTTTATATAGCAAT